ATAATATTATTTTTATTTATATACTTGTGTCTTATTTCCAGTGCTGGATTAAGGAAGGTTGTGGTTAGAGGGGGCTATAGCCCCGGGCCCCGCAGTGGCTCCAAAGGGTCAAGAAAACCTTTTCTTTTAGTCATTTTTAAGCCATGGCACATGAGAAAGCGAAACTGTATATAATAATATATAATCCCAAGGGGGGCATAGGGGGTGTCTAGCTCCCCTACGAATTTTATCAGTCGGCAAATATCAGAAAAGGAGAACTTTTTTTTTATATATATAGATAAGTTAGCAATTAAAATTTTTTTTAGTCGGCTTTAGTCCGCAAAAAACAGACATATAACCCATCCCCTTTAAAATCTCTTCGGGATGGCCCTGAGTATATATAAAATTTATCGTTGTTAAAACTTCTATTTAATAATTATTGCATATTAATAGAAACCAGTAATTTTACTACTTTAATAAGTCTAAACTTATTAACTCTCTTTGTTGACGAATGTATTGTTTAAGACTTACGTAACGGATATGTATCGCCTTAAACTATAATAATTATAATCATAAGTTTTTATTTCTTAGTAAAAATCCTTTTTTCTTAAATGATTGAAGTTTTTATTTTATTACTATTTCAATATAAAAATTTTATGTTTTGTTTTGTTAATAATATAAAATAAATTATGTTTAAAACTAAACTAAAACAGTTTTTCTTTTATCTGCACTTAATTTGTTTTATTTTTCTCTAAGTCATTATTTGTTTTCTCGTAAGTTTTGCAGCAAATTGCAAATAAATGAATGAATGTTTTATAGATAAATTAAAAATTACTAATTGAGCGCTTGCGCTTTTTTTTTTTTTTTTTGTAACAGGATTATTAAAATATACATATATAGATTTATTCAAAATCTCGTTTTATGTAAGTTTAATAATTTTTATAGTGTTTTATTAAACAAATTGTTTATGATTTTAAATTTTGTTTCATTAAACTAATTGTTTAATACAAAGAAGACAAGTGTTTAAAAATATTTAAAGTATTAAACATTCAGTTTGAGTTGCAAATAAGAGTTAGTAAAATTAACTAATTAACATTAGCGGTTTTTGAAATGTTTTTAATGAGCAAGAGATATAAAATGTGCAAAAGTTTTTCTTTAACTTCAGAGATTTATTTCATTATTATTTGAAATAAAGAATATAATCTTAACTGTACTTTTTTTTCCATTTAATCTTTTCTTTTAAATTTTGCTCTGCTTTTTCCACCATTAGTAAAGTCATTGCAATGAAATGAATTATTTTTAAATAAATTATAAATTATAAATTGCTTGTTTAAAAATTATAAATTGCCTATTGCGCTTTTAAAAAAAGCATTGATTTTATTTAAAATTGTTATTGTTAAAACAATAATTTATTCTTCAAGCCTTATCCCTTTAAGCCTTATGATTTATAAAGTTTAGTCACGAAGAACGGTTCAGGTTCATTTAAGCGAAAAAAGAGAAAAAGTTACTAGTTTCTATTGCAAACTTTAACTATTAGAATAATATTTTAATAAAAACTTTTTTAATATTTCAATAAACTCAAAAGTATTAAAATTAATAATATTAAATTGTCGATAAAATATTTATTTATTTAGTAGATTAAATTTTTAAAAAATTTTAAAAAACAATATATTTAAGAAATATATAAAAACCAGGCTATATTATATTATAAAAGAACAAAGTAAATTCGCTTGAACATCTTTTCGCTTGAACAACAAGATTTTTAAGATTTAAACAAAGAAAAAAGAAAAAAAATTTTGACCGTCCAAAAAAAACAATTGACCGTCATTCCTTGAGTTGGCTGGTCAAATTGACTGCTGGCCTTCAATTCCTTATTTTCGACTGTGATATATATATATATATATATATATATATATATATATATATATATATATATATATATTTGTGTTCTGTCGTGACCTTAGGTGCGGTACTTGTTCATCTGCAAGTTACTTTGTATGCATGTTTGTGTTTAGTAACCAGAAACTTCTTGTATATTTATTTGATAATTGATTTTATCAACTTTGATAATAATTAATTTTTTTATTGAAAATGCAATTATTGTTAAAAGTCTTTTTGTTTACAAATTAAATCTTAAAGATTACATTAAAATAATAAAAAATAAATACACAAAATTATATTTACATAAAAAATACATACTTTTTAAATAAAAAATAAGAACATACTAATAAAATTTATAATATAAAATAAAGTTTCAAAATTTTGACAATTTAAAAAATATATAATTAAAACATTTATTTTTGTAAACAAATAATAATAGTTTAAAGATTTACGGCTTTGCAGATGTGGCTCCGAGAATGAGCCACAGATGTGGCTTCGAGAATGAGCTACAAAATAATAGTTTGTTTGATAATATATTCTAAAAACAATTTATGCTAGAAATCTCAAAACTTAACATATCTTAAATAATACAATTTTTAAAAAATTTCAACAGAATACTCTAGAACTTTGCTTAGTCAGCGTATTTTTTGAACCAATAGAATTAGTTTGTTCGTACACTTGGCGGATTTTTAGAGTTCATGTATATTCTTTTTATTTTATTGCACCAAGATATTTTTGAGAACATTCAAGTTCATGTATGTCCATGAAAAAAAAAAAAAATGTTTGTTTTATGGACATACATAAACTTAAATGTTCTAAAAACGACTAAAAATCTGGCCAGTTTTTTGCAACTAAATATTATTTGCATGGTCAGTATTCGCTCCCACTTCCTGACGAAGCTTGAATTTTCAGAATTCTTATCAAAATTCTATAATAATATCATTTACTAAAACTTTTTTGAATTAAATGTGCTTAAATAAATTATAAAGTCTGTAGATTGCAGCGTATATTTTAAAGACTTTGAGAGATTGGCTAACATGGAGACCCTTGGAGTAAAACAATAAAGCTTGTTTTTCTTGGTATACTTTTATTATTTTGTTTTACTTAAAAAAATTCTGCCCAAACATTATTTTTTATCATTCTTTTTAATATGAACACAACTTGTCTTGGATCCCTTTAATCTCTCACCTTGAATCTAATAACTTACTTTCTGATCAAAAAAATGGATTTTGATCTTCTCGTTCTACTGCTAATTTGTTAACAGTAATAACTGATAAGTTTTATCCTGCATTAGATAGATTTGGAGAAAATAATTCTTGACATTTTACAGCTTTCGAAAAGGTTTGGCATGCTGGTCTTCTTCATAAGCTCTCTTCTTACGGTGTTTCAGGCAACATAAAGATTATTGAATCCTACCTAACCAACCATAGTATAAGAGTTGTTCTCAATGGATAGCACTCTTCTTCTTATCCTGTAACTTCAGGGGTTTCTCAAGTTTCTATTTTTGGTCCTATACTTTTTTTAATTTACATTAACGATCTCCCATAAATTCTCACATCTAAGGTTGCATTGTTCGCTGATGATACTACCATTTATTCTTGTCTTAATAAGAAGCAAACAGTCTCTGATTGCTTGGAAAGGGCATTTAAGCTTGAAAACTATCTCAGTTCTGCTATAGCATGGGGCTCTCAGTGGCTGGTGAACATTAACTCAGATAAAACTCAATTTTTTTTAGGTAATCATTATCGCACTCGTCTAGATCTTCTTATATTTATAAATAGTAATGTCCTCGATTAGTCATCTATCCTTCATCTTCTAGGATTAAGTCTTACTTGGATCTTTCTTGGAAACCATATATCAAATCAATTGCAAAATTAGCATCTACTAAGGTTGCATCTCTTTACTGTGCTCGCCACTTTCTTATCCAGGATTCTATTCTTTATATCTATAAATCTTACAAATCTTAGATATAAAAATGTCTAAAAAAGGTCAAACAAAATAAAAATGTCTAAAAAAGGTCAAACAAAATAAAAATGTCTAAAAAAGGTCAAACAAAAATCCAACAAGAAGAAAATCATTATAATAATGAACAAATTTTATCAACAACTTAAATCAACGATAGTTGTTAACACAGTACCTTCCAAACTAGCCAAATAAATTGGGGTAAAGGTTTGGGCTAGATGTGGCATTTCTGGAATAGTATATGATTTTAAAGTGTATTGTGGAGCAGACAAATCTAGAATTGATGAAATTCATAGAATTTTGATGGGTGGAAATGTCATCTAATTTGAAGTTTGCTTAGTGGTGTAAACCAGACCATATTTTTTAATAACTATTTTTCATCAGTTAATTTAACGTATTTTATCAATAGTATAAATCTTCCATCAAAAAGAAGACCACCCACTGTTAATATATCTGCTTTTGATATAAGGTTTGATTTGCATGGACATTTTCCAGTCTTTTAAAACAAGCAAAACCATGGTAAAAATTATGAAAAGAGGATTTAGCCTTGTGCAATATTTGAAGTGTAAATTATGTCTGTGTTTAGTCAAAATTCGTAACTGCTTAAAAAATTTCAAGTAGATATTGTTTAATAATTATTTTGAGGGTGCATTATAACTGGAATCAATTTATAAAAACCAATTACTTGCAAATAACAATATGTTATGTTCAAAAACTTTATTACTTTTGTTCCTGTAATATAACAAACATTGAGTATATAGTTTAAAATTATAAAAGTTGACATTTGGTCATATTTTAGATCAACCTAAGATCATAATTTGATCATATTTTAGATCAACCTAAGATCAAGATTTTAAATAAACTGATAAAATAAACTTATTCAAATAATTTTGAAAAAAATTCCTTTTTTATGTTGAAGTTGTTTAATACCTTCATAAAACCTTGTAAAAGTTCTTTTTTTGAGTTACTTGAATTTTTTTTGTAGTATTACATCATAATTGGTTTATGAAAGGAATTTAATATTTTCTTTAATATTACCATTATACTGATTATATACAATAAATTGAATATAAATTAAAACTGTTTAAGATTTTAAAACAGTTAAATATATTATAAAATATAAAAAATTTAAAAACATTAAAATTTTTTCAAGCAGATTGAATCATCTGTGAAAATAC